CGCCCCCCGTTGTTCCCGGCGTGTCCCCAAACCATCGCGACTGTTTGAATTTTTTTAACTCAGTCCAAACCGACAGACCGTTCGACCGTATAGTCGTACCGGTACCGTTGCCGCCGACGTTTTAGCAATCGACCACTCGATGCTAAGACATAAAAAATTGTTACAACCGCGTACCGTTTGACTAGTGTGATTTTTTTTTTATCGTTTCGTTGATTTTGTTTATTTATTCTAGATGTTCGTTAAACAGTAATAGCGTTTTTTTTTTAACGATTTTTTCCCTATTATGAAACCTAGATTTTAATTAATAAACGGTTAAGTTTCGTTGTTGATTTTTAGTATTATAAGAAGACGTCGCCACCGCTGTTATAACTGCGGATCTATTTTTATCGAAAGGTAACAATTTTCGTTCATTCGATAAAATTACACTATCCCCGATAAATGTATATTTTCCATTGAAAATATTCAGGTAATGAAGTTTGACTTTATCGGTAATCGGTTTTTAAAAACATTATCGATCGAGTAAAATCTGCTCGTTATATATCTGTGGGTTTACAGCTGTAAAAAATGCAATACATATATATTCGCCCTTTTAGCGTTGCCGTTGGGTATTCGGTAATTTTAAATATCGGTATTTCATTATGTACGGTATCAGCTTTTTTGTCTCGTCATACATTAAAATATGGATGAAGTACTGTTGAATTCCGAACAAGGCGACTGTCATACGTGTAACGCATAAATACCGTGTGTATACATTTATTATTCTCTGTATAAAAACGTGTGTGTATACAAGCGCACATATGGCTGAGGATTAACCGAACACGAGTAAATCAGGATAGCCGACCGGACCGTATCGGACATGAGGATCTTTGAAATCGTCGAGGTCCGGCACACCGCATACCGCCGCCGCAGCATAAACAACGCATCTCGTCCAGCGAATTATTACGGCGAAGCCGAGTCATTTGTTTGTCTCTGAAAAGAAAAAAAAAAAACTAAAATAATGAAATCGTGCTGGGCTCGGTTGCGACAAATTGCCGGCCGGCGACGACGACAACGACAGGCCTCCACACAACGGGCAACTCGAACCAGTAAAAAATTACTCGACACAGGAAAAACGACAAATTATCGAACACTGAAACAATGTGATGAAATTTAGTATTAATCTGCGTGTCAATAATATATTTAATGGTACAAGTCAGAGAGCGACTTGGACTTTTTTATGTCTTGTTATCTTTCAAAGACGGTCTATAGATTTATTTTCCATTTTAAACCTGTAGTTTTTTTTTGTCTATTATTATTTAGATTTTGTAGAACTTGAAATTGTTGATGCTAATAACCCAATCGATCAACTATAAAGTTGTTACAATATGGCATGGTGCTTATAAAATATTTATATGTTAATATATTGTACACGTACAAATGTATAGAGAAATTTTTTATTCCAGTTCATGTGTACGGCGTATTTACAATTTAACTTATTGATATAATAATGTCAATTTGTTTGCTAATTTTTATATTTTCATGATTAATTTCAATCCTCCCGATAAAACTATTGATAATTGTGAATTTTTCTTCGAGCTACAATCATTTGTGAACAAGATCACATGATAATGAAATTAATGATGATCGCGAATAGTAAACTGCTTTGTGTTTCTCACACTATTTTATTGTTTAAATAATTGTAGCAAAGAATATTTGTTGAAACTCAATATTTTATTAGATCTCTGTGAAATGGCGTGTTTGAGTTTGTTTTGCCTTTAATATTTACTTATTATATGAATTTTTCTAAATTCAAAGAGCAGGATCTGTATTCCTTTATATATGTATATAATCGATTCATATAATATAATACTAAAATTTAGTGTTTGAGTATAAATAAGTCTTCATTTAATGAAAACATTTATTTCTTTTTTATATGGTAATCTGGCCTTTGCTCACTCCGGGGCGTGCAATAATTGAAAATACTAATTATTTAATCAATTATATTAATTCAATTTACTTAGCTATAGTTATTTTTTTTTTTACATTCCACCACGAAGGCGAAGAACTAAATGTAAGGTAGATTCTTTCTGAATGTTATAATCGGACAACGAACGGCCGTCTTCCAGTTGCTTACCGGCGAAGATGAGGCGTTGTTGGTCGGGTGGTATTCCTTCTTTGTCTTGAATTTTGGCTTTTACATGTTCGATGGAGTCTGACGATTCCACATCTAACGTGATGGTCTTTCCAGTTAAGGTTTTGACAAATATTTGCATTTATATAGTTTGTAGCGCCTCGCTCTTTTTAATTTTAGCGTCCGGTCGGATGTGAACCTGTCAACGGTCTGTTTCTTACTGGCGTAATGTTCGCGGCCGACATTAAAATCTATAGAAACCGCGCAAATAACAAACGCGTGAAATTTAATTTTAAACCAACATGCTATAAAAACGAAATACTTTTTCAAACTGCTCGATCATATAGAATTTGTTTTGGCTTCGAGGCGTTTACCGAGAAAGAATTTAAATAATTCTCCGTTAAGAGAAAATATCGCGTTTTAAGTAAAAGATATATCGAAATTCGCGATATTTGACGCTTTTATGTAATTCGACAACGTTTATTGTTCTCTATCTAAATACGCTAGAAAACTGCGAAAAAAATGAATTGAGCGCAGTAAAATTAAAAAAATAAAATAACACACGGCTCTTATATATTATTGAAACCGTATATCTCAAAACGACTTTTTTCGAGATCTCGCGCTTACAGTACTATACGTTTGTTGTTATCATTTACTTTTCACTGTCGACTACAATAAACAATGGAAATTAAACGATAACAAAGATAATTATTATTGGTTATTATTTCTTCAATATTAAAACGTTTATAATTGTTATCGTTTATTATTAATTTTAGTCTATTAAACGAAACCGTCTTTACCTAAGGTGTATCGGCCGGGCGGGTCGTTATCGATACGGAACAATAGTTGTTTAATCTTGCATCGTGTTAGTTTTAGCTTTATTAATAAAATCGTGATAACAGTCATCACATTACGCGGCAACGGCGTTTTTGCAGACGTCATTATTATTATAATTATGGGCCACACGAGAGTACTCGACGCGTATTTTTCTAAATTGTTTGAATTGCGACAAAGAATTCAAAACAATTATAAGATATGATATACACGGAGAAGCCATTAAAACATACATTCTTCACAACAGTGTTTTATCGGTCTTGTCGGTTTACATCATCATATTCTCTATCATCGGGTTATACCCATCACAGTTCTCGACCCAGTTTACTACGGGCGGGTAACTAGGGTAGATCGTTGACGAGGGATCGGATAAAACATGGTGGTCGCCGCCGATTCGAAGAGATCGGCCATTGTTGTAGCACACTGTGTACTTCTAATGAGTTCGGATCGCAATACGATTTACGATCGAGCAATCCGTTTGAAATTATTTTCGAATATCGAGTAAAATTTAAACGCGATAGCAAAGTACACGGTGGAATTTTTATTATTCAAATGTTCGGTTATTCGCCTCGACTAATACTCCAACTAATACTCAAGTTCTCTTCGAGCGTTTACTCGAGTTTTTTACTAATCGTGTCGATTTCTAATAAATAAATGTTTGAAAATTAACACGTGTGTGCCTTAGTCGACGCGCGATTGATATTATTCATGATAATTTTTTTCTGACAAAAGTACTTCATGGAATTTGTTTTCTGTAAAATTGGATTAAATGTAAATTTAAACTCTGTACCTACGCGTTGGAATTTCGTTGTTGAAACGAGAAGAGGACGGCAACGGGGAATTTACGCATACGTTTTATAAAAAAAAAAGAGAATAAAAAAACCCGACCGACTCTCGGCGACACGTACATATACAACACTTAACGCGAGATAACATCATCATCAGCTCGGTGGTGTGCTCGAGGCTGTGGGTGGGCCCGTACCCGTTTGCGACAAATTATTTCGAATATTTTATTTTATTACGCACATTACGACGATGTAAACGTACGTTTGACGTCTAAATGTTATTGGACTTTTAATTTTTAGCGATTAATTTTGGTTTGTTAATTGACGCGGAGAAAAAAGACTACTCGTCGGATAGAGGAGAAGACGCGATGACTTTAAATCTCTGTACGTTTTACCCCTCTTATTATTATTATTTCATCGCTATTCGTAATTTCGTTCTGATACGACACGTTTAATTTCACTCGAATTGAGAATACAACGATCAGATAACTCAAACGATTCAAGACTTAATTCTATCTAATTAAAGACGCCATTAAACGTCGTGCGAGTATGTTCGGAATAAATTTATTGTAATTAGTTGGGCTTCAAAGATACTATTAAGCGCGACAACAATGTTTTTTCTTTGTACTCGGTGTTATAATAGCGCATTTAATTTGTCAACGTATCGTAAGCGTTGTTGATTGGATAAGCTATCTGTTTAAATAATCTAGAAAGAACTATAAAATTAAATCTGCGTAATAATCGTCGGAATGATTGATATTTTATCGGATTATTTCCAATTGAATTCTATGTATCACGAGTCGTCACGAGAAGGCCCGACCGGGTCGTTTTAGAGTATTTTTATTTTTTAAATTTGGTCCTCGTTGTAATATTAAATTATTATTATTATTGCCATAAATGGAAATTTATATTCCGGTTTATAGCGGTGACTTATATTAATTTGTTGAATTACTAAAGTACATGTTTTCCTAACTTCAAGTCATTAATTTACCTCGTAGTGTATGGTCATTTGTAATATTTGTTTACACTATGCTTTTCGATTATATATTACATTCTAATTTTTTTATATGCGCTCTTATTAATGGTTTATTCATCGGTTTGAGCTGTTGAATCTAAAATTAACGTAAAAAAATCTTTTGTCTATTGTTACGGTACTTTTTATCGAAATATTATGAATAGTAAACTGCACATAAAGCGTTATTTAGTGAAAACAAATTTGTTTGAAAATACATAATTTTATAAATTACGTTTTTTTTTTTTTTTTTTTATAGTTGCTGAAAACTTATCCGAGAATTGAATTATTTATCCAAGTTCGACCGATCACGTTATTCTAACTGTATTGGTGGCTTTTGAGCCAGCCGATTGGCAGTTTGATCGCAGCCGTAGCAGTGGCGGCAACTACAGCAAAGGCTGCAGAGTTCAACGCTGCAGAAAAATACACCACGACGGCGGATTACCATCAACACCATTATATGAGGTAATTTTTATTTATTTCTCGCTCGAGTTCAATCTTTATAATTAGACGTATTTTTTTGCAAAATAATATGATAGTTATTCTCATGTGAGCTATTTTAATTAAAGTGTCAACAATTTTTCATTAATGACCAATTGAAAAATTGTTTACACTAATACTGCCGTTCCAGTAAAATAAAAACGTACGCGCCGAAAATTAAAAAAACATATTATCCTATTAAAATAACGAGGATTCAATGGCGTGTCTTTAGAGCTAGGTAAATTTTTTGTATCCGGTTTAGAAGCCGAGTAGTTGAGGATATGGTTTGTACGTATTTCATAAAAATACACCTGATATTTAAGGTCTAAAATAGATCTAATACTTGTGGACAAAACAATGTATTACGTAAAAAGTAGTAACTCCCCATAATTTTGCTTGATACAACTCGATATTCGTCTTTTTGTTTAGTTACGACGGATTTTTTAAGCTGTTACAGCAAAATTATCATATGTTAATTTACTGGTAAGAAATATCGATGAGCCTCATAATCAGTTTGAACCGTACTATCCTAATCGTGATTTGTGGCAGTTTTTCGGTTTTTTTTTCTTGTGATAGCGATATTTTTCATAGAGGAGTCCGTCGTATTGGTCTTAATTCGGCCTCGCCTTTAAGAAGGTTTTAAAACAAACCTCGTATCGATATTTTATTTAAAATCGTCACGTTTCGAAACCATCGATTATTAAATGTTTTCTGCGTATTCCGTTTTCTTTTTAGACAATAAACGATTTAGATTAGAAACACCGCCGAGAAAAAAATACATAAATGAGTTTTCGGTAGAAACAGTCGTCCTACATCCTTTTTAGTAGTTTTATTAGATTATACGTTAAAAAATATTTAAATACTAGTGACTATATAGTCGATCAGTTTTATAAAAGCGGAATAAGAAAAATTCGTTTTTCCTAAAGCGTTCGTCTTTCTTTACTTGATCGGCAGAATAAACTTATAGTCATCGTGTACTTGATCTAATTCTTCCGAATCCGACTGATAAATTTCGAATAGTTGGAACTAGTGAAAATAGGAAATTCGTTTTCTATCAATTCTATGAAAATCAATTTTATTACTATAACTTGTATAACTAATAATCGTTGTAACAATTAGTAGATTTCTCTTAACGCGCATAATATTTTTGTCGTTTGATCTATTTTTTAAATTTCATGAAATTAAATTAAATGATTTACTGAAGAAATAATTAAGCTTTATTTTTGTACCAATAGTACTATGCAGCAGACGGCTTCGTCCTATCGAGGTGTGGTAGAGCCCGGTAACGTTGTCGGCGGTTGTGGAATTTCTTCCGGGACGACAGCAGTGACGGCGTCTTCGTCATCTCCTTCGCCTCAATCTCCTCCACCTCCTTCATCACCTCAACCTCGGATCTCGTCGTCACCTACTGACACGTCTACGCCTTCGTTGCCGCCACCGCCCACAGCAACTGCGCTAATATCACCGCCGCCACTTTCTCCATGCGGCGGTTATAGTTTATTGAACAGTGGTGCGGGAGGCGGTAGTGGATTTTACGGGAATAGTAGCGCCGGTGTGCATCTTCAAAATCAACAACAATTCACGGGTCCATCGTCGTGTAATTACCCGGGTAAGTTTAATTTTAATTTTCAAATTCAACTACCATAACGTTTAATAACGCGAGCGAAGAAAATAACACGTTACAAAAGAAATTGAATTAAATAAAAAACAACAATGTGTTTCGCACGTTATAAATGACGCGACGTTTTTGAGATGAAACGGCCACCCATAGAGATTTGCTGCGTCAAACTGTGGCGAAATCGCACGACGTGTCAGCCTCGGTGTGTGTTATTTTTGCTAACAGATCGGATCAGTGTACCGTTACCTCTAATCTTCTTATAATTTAATCCTGTCGTGGAGTACATTTTCGCAATACCCGTCGTCGCGATCGTCCAAAACGCATTTACAATTCCGATAAATCCGATTTTACGAGAACGCGATTTTATTTAATCTCTTATAAGCGTTTTAATTTTTTTTTTTCTTATTCAGCTAGTGGTGGCATAACCAGAAAACCACCTTGTTCCGGAAGCGATTCTCTTTTGCTCTTGCATCAACAGCAACAAGGACTTCAAAACGGTTCCGACCATCATTTACAACATTTGGACGTGCACCCTCACCAATTGCACCATCACCAACAACAGCAACATCATCATCATCAAATGCAACAAAATGGAGGAGGTGGTAGTGACTACCACAGTAATCACCACCACCATCATCATCATCACGACTTACATCATATGCACCAAGACGACGGCGGGATTAGTTCGGCGTATTCGGGTCTATACGGACCTCCGTCGTCACCTCCGTTACAGCAGCAGTTGGCCGGTGGAAGCAATATGATAATCAACAACTCCATGTCATATTCGAGTGGTTATAATGGAGTTTACAACGGAGGCACTGCCGGAGGCCAAAGCTGTTATTCCGCCGCGGCCGTTGCTGCGGCCGCAGCTGCTGCAGCTGCAGCACAGCAAGTAAGCGATAAAATAGTTTTTACTCCTTAAACATCTTGCGATTATATTGATATATTAATTATATTATATATCCTTTGATGAAATAGACCTTAAGGTTTTTTTTGAATTAATATAAGTGACTTACGTAATTACGTAAAAATTACAAACTTAAAAAGTTAAAATGTTATCTGTCTGTCTCGTACACAGTAACGTATTTTGAAATTTGGCGTTAGAATGTTATAATTTGTCCATATCCAAAAGGATGTAACAAATCTTGAAGTTTTGATGGTACTTTTTTTTTTAGTCAAATCAAAAAGCTCATTTACGCCTACTTATAAGATATTATCAGGAAGGTCGTCCTTTTTAATTTATTTGTATTCATATCGGTTAATCATTTAGATATATATGAGCTGTATCAATAAGCTAAAAATTAAAAAAAAAAATAATGTTTCCTCTATATGAATTATTAAATGTCTATGTGAACATTGTGCAAGGCATGCATTGGCAAAAGCTACTTCAATATTATAAAAACAAATTCCAACATATAAGGCTTTTATCAAATATGAAAAAAAGACAATTTTTTGTTTTTTTAAACAAAGGAATGCCCTTAAGATTCCTCATATTTTGGCATTTATCTAATATGCACAAAATAAACGCAATACGCGATAAACGTCAAACAGATAAATATTTATTATTTAGACCGATTAAACTTTTACTATCTATAATTAATATTTGGAGAGTCTATAACCTATTAAAATACGAGTATAATTATTGTACGTTAAGGACTATTCTGGAGGATATGTCGGAGGAGGTGCTTCGACGGGCGCCTATTCATCTGCCACTAGCCATCACGGTACTAGTCACCAAGTCAGTGCTCATCATAGTGGTGTCAGTATAGGTCATCATCACCAGTCATCTGCTAGTACGGCGGCGGCGGCTGTAGCCAGTTATTATGCGGCTGCTGCAGCAGCTGCTGCCGCTGCAGCTTCAGCTGCATCTCAAGGTCCGGGCGGCTATTCTTCTCCGTCTTCACATTACGGTAGTAACGCACCCACTTATGGTCAATTACAACCAGTGGTTGGAGGTATTCAGCCAGGTAAGTCTAAATTTTTATTGTAATTTTTTATATAATTATAATATTATTTATATTATATTATTATTTTCTTTTCATTTTTTTATGGGCTTTACGCTTGTAATCGGTTTAATCTATCGATTTTATATTCATATAGTCAATAATGATGTCGGTTTGCTTTTTTTTTTATTACTACGTGTTACTTTATCAACGAAACTGAAAATTAATTTAATATATAAATATCTGTTATTACAGACAGTCCACCTGGCGGTGGTCCTTCATCACCTTCTTCTCCTGTTAAGTCAATAACTTCGAATAGTCGACGGTTAGTTGATAGTAGTGGTGAGTATATGCGTTGATATTAACATAATAATATTTGAAAATATTCGAGCTATTATACAATACATATTTTATAATAATCAATACTATATAATGATTTAAAATAATTTTTGTACGATTTCTGTAGGTCGTTGTAGTGGAAATGGCAACAATCGCAGTGGCCGTGGAAGAAGATCGGTTGCGGCAAATGCTAGCGGTGGAGGTAGTGGACAATTAGCTTCCTTAGTCAACAACCCTTCGCCCGTACAATCGACTGGTAACGTAGCTTTAACCGGAGATTGTCAACAGCAGCTCGAGAGAGTATTCATATGGGATTTAGACGAGACCATAATCATATTCAACTCTCTCTTGACCGGTGGATTTGCCACTAACCATTCCAAAGTGTGTAGAACTACAATAGTTTAGTTTTTAATAAATACAAATATAGTCTGTTTTATATTATATTATCTTATTTATTTTTTTTAAGGATCAACAAATCATGCAGCCACTGGGATACCGAATGGAAGAAATGATTTTCAATTTAGCTGACAACAGTTTTTTTTTCAATGAAATTGAGGTTATTCTTTAAATATAATATTAACGGTTCTAAAATTAAATTTTTAGAAAGCAATATTTTAATGATTAAATATTTACTTTTGTTTAAATAAATATAAATTAGGTAAAAAGTTGAAATATGGTATTTTAATATTTAATAAAATTACCCGGGGTGATTTTTTATTATTAAACATGTATGTCGATGGACATAGTTGTCAACAAATGCGATTAGTGTAAAAACCAATTAGCTACCCCTATGCGTAATCCGTCACACATTATACGTGTTAATTAATTTGAATATTTGAAACTTTAAAGTTCATTATCTGATAAACGAATATAGTTTTATTAAAATTAAAATTCCGTTTACTATTAAAATACGACCTCAAACATTTTATTAAATTCAAAATATGTGTTCCCATTTGAAAAAACAAAGTTGACACCCTCACGATGCGTAACGAACTCGAAAAGTATTACGTAGCTAATAGTTCAATAATAACGTGAACTAGTTTAAGTTTTAATTATTATTGAAGTGGACATAATGCCCATGTACTCAGACCCGTTGGTCTATTGTGCGCACCTCATATCAAATTGTCTTGATTCGGTTTACTCGTCTAAGTGTTATCATCAAAATGTTATTACATTATACCAACCATAAAGTCACTCCTATAGATGACCAAAGAGTCCTGTCTTTCCGGCAAAATTAAGTATCTCTCTGGGTGGTCTGGGTTTTTTTAATATCTTCTTTTTCAGGAAAATGTTTAGTCAAATAGTTTGATCTTAGTGTGGACAAGGCTTCACATTCGCACATAATGTGAAATGAGTCTTCCTCTTCTACTCCACACTTCCTGCACAATGGTGATTCCGATACCCCCATTGTTTTAAGATGTTTAAGCAGGTAACCAAATCCTGTCAGTACACCAGTCAAGGGGCTTATTTCATATCTAGTCATGCTACTAAGAGAACCCAACAGTAGACCAGAGGTCTTGATAAACATTTTAGATTGTCTAGGTACTACCAAGTACTTTCTGATTTTCCTTTGTTGTTTTCTGCACCAATTCTTGGATAGCGCTTTGAGCGATTGCTCAGCGAGTCTTATCACTGGCTCTGGTCCAACATAGGTGTTCTTTGCTCCTTTCCTGGCTATAAATTCAGCATATTCATTTTTAGTGACACCGTTGTGTCCTGGTACCCACGCTAGTGTAACTTTGTTGAAACTCGATAATGATTCTAAAGTTTCCTTGCATTCAAAGACCAGCTTTGAATTCACCTGATCATTACATAGTGTTTTCGAAGCCGCTTGACTGTCACTTAAGATAATTATCCTCCTATTTTTGTATACCAGCAGGTTCTGAGCTCCTACCATTATCGCAATCAACTCTGCTTGGAAAATAGAGGGTGTTGTGCCCAATGACATACTGACATTTGTTCGTGACTTTAACTCCAAATGCCAGTACCTACTTTTCCTGATTATTTGGATCCATCTGTATATATTATAATTCCTCCTTTTTCAGTCAGATGGTTAATATTCCATTCTCTACGTGTGGTAATCTCCACTTTGTAGGGAATGTTATTTTTAAGAACCGGTTTGATATAGTCTAAGGGGTATTCCCAAAAGCCCTGATTTATCTCTTTTATTATTTTACCATGTTCTGCTGTGTCACTCTCCAGAGTCCATATACCTAAATTGTGGAATCTTAGTGCTGTGGCTTTGGCGTGAGCTTTAACTTCTAGATGCAGAGGAGGCAATCCGATTAGTGCCTCTAATGCGACTGTTGGTGTAGTTCTTAATGCTCCAGGGATGGCTATGGCAGCCATTCGTTATATGCGACTGAGTTCTTTCCTAGCTGTAACAAGTGCTGTTCTGGTCCATCAGACTAGGGAACCGTACAATATCATAGGTTTAATCACTGAAGTGTACAACTAATACATAACTCTTGGTTTAAGACCCCATGTCTCTACTGTAAGTCCGCAATGTGGTCATTGCTTTTTGATTCTTGATTCATAAAAATGATTTCTATTTGAGCTTACTATCTAAGATAATACCTAAGTATTTTACTTCCGATTTTAAGCTAATTTCTTGTCCATTTAGAGTAAGAGTGTCAAGGCTGTCTAGCCTTGTTCTCCTTCTAGTGAACATAGCGACCTCTGCTTTATTTGGATTAACAGATAAACCATACTTACTGCACCATATATGTATAGTGTTTAGTCTCTGTTGTGCTAAGTCTATAATAGTGTCTGGGAATTTACCCTCCACTGCTATAACTAAGTCATCCGCATAGGGTTTTTGTTTATTAGTATTTGTTTAACTCTTTAATAAGCGAGTCCAATACTAGACACCATACCAAAGGAGGTAGAACCCCGCCTCGCGGGCGTCCCTGTTTAACACTCTTGATTACTTTGGTTTCATTGAGCTGTCCCATAATGGAGCGTTCCTTTAGCATGATTTCTATCCACTTAGTAATAAGAGGTTCTATTCTATGCTATTGTGCAGATTCACACATACCATTGAAGGGAGTGTTGTCAAAGGCCCCTTCGTTGTCCAGGAATATACCTACTGCATACATTTTATTCTCCACAGCTTTCCCTATCTTAGTCGTTAGGCAGTGTAGAGCTGTGTCGGTAGATTTACCCGTTTAATACGCATGTTAGTTTTCATATTAAAGGGTGCTCCTTTAGAGGCCCCTCCTTAATGTACATATCAATAAGTTTCTCCATAATATAAGTGGTAAGAACATAGTAATAAATGTTCTTACAGTCTTGAGAATAAATGAAGTAAGACTTATTGGCCTGTAGGATTTTGCTTCATAATAGTTAGTCCGGTTAGGTTTGGGTATAAACACCACCCTGACCTTTCGTCAGCTTTCCGGTTGATAATCATAGGCAAGGAATGCCCTAAATATTTTTCAGAGATGGGGGACTATTAATTCTAACCCTTCTTGCAGAAGTGCAGAGAAAATTTCGTCACAGCCTGCAGCTTTGAAATTGACCATCTTATTCCACTTGGGGTTTGGTTTTTCATTTTTATAATAATTAAAGAACATAGTTAGGTCCTTATCTGAGTTTGTGACCTCATATGGTAGGTATCCTGAAGTTACTATATAATGTGAACTAAATATATAATATAATATAACTAAAGGTAACCAAAAAACAATGTTTAAATTATGCATAATTGAGTAGGTTACGATAAAAAAAATCACTCTGTACGTACAAGAGAAATTATTTCTTCTTTTTTGGACTTAATAAAAATTCCTTTTTTTAGGAATGTGATCAAGTGCACATAGACGACGTTGCTTCCGACGACAACGGTCAAGATTTGAACGGTTATAACTTCAGTACTGATGGATTTCACGGACAACATCACAGTCAACATCATCACATGATGTCCGGCGGACCAGGAACCGGTTCTTCTTCACAAGTACGCGGTGGTGTTGATTGGATGCGCAAATTGGCATTTCGATATCGAAAGATCAAAGAACTTTATAACAATTATCGTAATTCTGTTGGTGGTGAGTACTCGTAACTCGTAAAACATCTTGACATCGTAATCGAGCTAATGTCCGTTTAATTGATATTAAAATATAAAATAACTTATCGGAATCGAGAAAATGTCTATAAACGATTTTTAAATATTAATTATAATTATTATTCTCACTAGGTCTTTTGGGACCTGGAAAAAGGGATGCTTGGTTACAGCTTAGAGCTGATATTGAGCTACACACCGACGATTGGTTGACGATGGCTATAAAATGTCTTGGATTAATAAATTCACGGTAAATAATATATTATATATAATATAATAGTACTCAGTATTTGTAATTTGATTTTGATAAAGAATTGTAATTTTTTTGATTATTTTGGTGACGATTTTCAGGCCAAGTTGTGTAAACGTATTGGTAACCACAACTCATTTGATACCGGCTCTATCGAAAGTTCTTTTGTATGGTCTTGGTGGATTGTTCCAAGTCGATAATATATACTCGGCTACAAAAATTGGCAAAGATTCTTGTTTCGAACGAGTGGTGGCTCGTTTTGGTCGAAAATGCACATACGTGGTTATCGGCGACGGACATGAAGAAGAAAATGCAGCTAGACAAGTATGTCATCATTGTATTCATAATCGATATTTAATAACTTTTTCCGTATTTTAATCATAATAGTAAATGTATTCCTTTTTATGTTTCAGTTGAATTTTCCTTTTTGGAGAATATCATCGCGTAATGACCTGGCTGCACTTTATAATGCTTTGGATATGGGGTTCCTTTAAGTAAAAATATATAATTTTATACATAAATATAAATAAATATAAGTGTCAAATCTACATAACGCTTTCTAGATAATACCATGTTAATACTTTATAGATATATAGCGATTTTTCGTCTTAACGGATATTTGTATATTATGTATATTTTAATTTTATAGTATAAATAATTATAACTGGTGTATAAAATTATATATTATAATTATTATCTGATGTAAATAGTTTTGTTTGGGAATTTTTTTATAGTGACCAGAATACGCACCTCGCCTTGAATTTTTGTATTTATTTAATTATGTACACATGTACATAATATATATTTTCATTGTGTTATTATTACCATATAAGAAATACCATATAATCAAGATTAAATATTTAGCTCGATGATTAATTGTTTTTTTTTTCAAATCCTAATTAAAATAAATAAAAGTTTACTTTAAATTAAGTGATATATTTATTTTTCGGTGGCTATAGAATAATAAATGTAGTTTCAGATCTAAATTAGTTTTTTCACTTATTCCTTATTGCACATGAATCATATGATATATATATATATATATCATATAGCCATATGTTATTATGGTTCCTTTGACTTAATAAAATTTATATATACTTTCATTATTGCTAATTATTGGAAATGTGTTAAGGTGAGTTTAATAGTATTTTTTGTAGCTTATTGACGATCTTTATAATAGTAACGAGACAAATTACATTAAAAAAAAAAACTGAAATAAATCGAGAAAATAGATATCTAGTAGGGTGGATTAAAAAAAGTCGATCATCGTAACTTAAAGAGAACCTTTTTAAATTTATTATATATATTAAAATATGTAAAAATTTGAGATTATCAAAAAAATGTTTACTGGTCGCTATACGAGACTAGTAAAATTTAATTTCTAATATTAAAACCAAAAAAATTGCAATAAACAGAATAATCCAATTATCATTACCAATTATAAAGTTATACAAGACTCTAGAAGCCAAAAAGCGGCTTCTGTTATTCAATTTTTGGTCAAATATTATGATTAGTTAATGTAGTTAAAATAGTTTAACTTTTACTGTAGAATACAAATTTTTTAGTTTCAAAATTTTCAGTTGGTAATATTTCTAGTAGGTCTCATTCTTCTTATTTTCCTCACCTTAATCCCAACTACTCGGGGTCGGCCACCCTTATCCTAAACTTCCACTTGACTTAATCTACCACAACATCCATGCTCACATTATCCGCCCTCGTATTGCATTCGATTACATCTCTCCATATCTTTTTTGGTCCTCTTCTTCCTTCAACATTAATTTCTATAACTGTTCTTATAGCTTCCGATTTCTCACTCCTCATACCATCATCAAACCACCTCAGTCTCATCTCTCATCTGAACTACCATTGACGCAACACCTATATTCCCACTTATATGTTGGTTTATTATACTAGTAGGTTTCAAATAAAAATAAATTATTTTTTAAGCAGTTTAGCTGATATTTATGTATATTATGAGTAGAAAAAAAATTGTTCACTTATCTTAAAAACTTATACCTTTTTTAGGTACGATGCGAAGTTGAGAAGGTATTAATTTTTCATGATGTGTTTTTTTTTTGTGTAATTTTATATTTTCATCTTTAAATTGTTATAACTTTTCGAAAAATATATGTAACAACACAAATTTTTTTTTCTATACATTTTATATACTTTTTTAAATTCGGGCAATTTTCCCTTATACAGGACGCGTTCAAAATTTGAAACATACGTATAATTATTAGAACTTTGACAATTTAATTTTTGAAAATGTTCCAGAAATACTGGATCTTTTAAACATAAGTCAAATTAAAGCTTATATTACGAATTTTAAATTGAAAAAATACATTTATCCCGACTATTACCTTCTATGTACAAATGGCCACCAAATTAAAAAAAAAATGTAAAATTTGGTAAAAAAATTCATATTCTATCGTTATGTTTTTTATACTTAAACTGGCATAAGTTTTTGAAATATTAATAAATCAAAATAATATTTTTTTATGTTAAAACCTTTTATTTTCCTTTTATTTTATATGGTTTTTTTGACAATCTGACACTTTACTTGCCCATAAGGGGATTAAAAATAGCAACATTTTTACAAAAGTCAACTTTTTCAACTTAACTTTTGAAAATGTTCCTGAAACACTGCGTTTTTTAAATATATGTTAAATTAAAACTTATGTTACATACCATAAATTACAAAAAAAAAATTGTCCCGACGACTTATCTTCTACGTGCAAATGGCTGCCGTGTTTAAAAAACATGCTATTTTTGTTATATATATAACAAATTTAAAAGTATTCTCATTAAAATGTCGACGATCGACTTCTTTTAGTCTACTCTAATCCGTATCATATATTTTTCAAAACATGAATGGAGGAGCAATAGATTCTCTATTATTCCTGTAGTCGTTTTAGACTGAATTTATATATATATAAATTCAGTCAAAAAATATATTATACATATGCTGATACGACTTCTAGTTTTATAAAAGAAAAATGTAATTTAAAACTGAATTTTATTTAATACAAATTTAAAAACATTTTATAGCTTGATATGTGTTAAAATAAATTTCGTTTTAGTTAAAGATAAATTATTAAAATATTATGTTTCTGTCAAATTTTTATGGATTCTAAGTCTTTAAGACTGCTAATTTTACACATGAATTGACGTAAATAAACCTATTGTTAACTGTGAAATCAGTACGGTTACTAAACTTCCTAGGAAATTATTTGATTCATTCGACAATATTTCATTTATCCACTCTTTATACGGATAAACAAATAAATGTCTGGTTTGAACAGTAGCACTTCCGCATTTTACTTCTCTTTCTGGGTCGTGAAAATCGTATCCATGACTCGCTATGCCGTACTGGAAGCCTCGACAAATCATTGGGCCTCCACTGTCTCCAGGACAAATCATGTGAACATCAGGTTTTGAACACAAATACTCTGGCCACGTCAAAGGTATATTGTGCCTGTAAATGAATGAATACACAAAGTGTACTAAAAAAATATTTTCATAGCTTTTTTTTTATAAAAATGCTTACTTATTGTAATCCTTGCATGCTTTCGGGCCGTATCGAACTAGAGCTCTAGTAATGTATCCCATATTACCGGCCTCGCCATATTGTGTCTGCCCAAAACCAAGAACATTACACTTTAATTCAGTGTAGTTTTCGAAATTTCCCGGATGTCCTGAAAGTTTTACATACCTATGCACGTTAAACGGACTGTAGATCTAGAATTGTTAAATAAAAATCAATTCATCTCAAAACTATTCTTTCTGCTCTAATGTGAATTTCTGTAAATATTTTGTACTTTTAAAATAACCGACCTGTATAATACTAATATCGGCTTTCATCGTAATATGATTGTAATCGACATGACTGTAAATTCGACGAACTGATCGTTGAGGGACGAATTCGTCCACTGGACTTCCATGGTATACCTAAATAGTATTATACCTGTAAACATTTGTAAAAACAGAATAAAAATATCGAAAAGTCCTTCGTAATGCGATTTACTTTAATACTAGACGGCAATTTTTCATGAGTGCAATGGCCGGCTGTTAACACAAAAACGGGAGCTACCAGTGTACCGGTGCAAATGGAAAATTTCCTAAAATTCGAACGTATCCTCAAGCCAACGACGTAAGGATAATCCATTGGATCAAATCGCTTACCACTAGCCACGAAATCTTGTTTTGTAACCGAGGTCGCTACATTTTCTAATGAAATTAAGCATACTAGTACGTTTAAAGTAAGGAGGTACGATTTCATAATCAGTATTAATTTTTTTAAATTAAAACGATTGTAAAAAACAACGACATAATGAAAATCTGTTACTATGCATATATATTTTACGAGTATTATTTATTTTTATTATTTAACTGACGCAGCATATCCGGATACTGTTTTATATATTTTATTTATGTAAACGTCAAATTATTTTAAATATTTTCAAGTTGTCATCTGAAATTAAAAGAAATTTTATAAGTCATTAACTGGCACGTAGCACTTGTGAAGAACTTTTTATTTCTAATTTTAAGTTTCATATGGAATATTTAATAATTTTTTATTGAACTATATACAGTCTATATACAGAACTATATAGTTTTTAACTATATACAGTTTAAATAAAAAAAAAAAATGATATGGGTACTTGTTATTAGTGTTTGGAATTATATTAATTTATAAATTTTGTGAAGTTATTTCGAACACACCATTATCCAGTATAAATTTCTATTAATCGACTTGAAAACTTTTTAATATTTTGTTTCCTAGGTTATAGTTTGAGCTTTTTACATCGAAAGACATTTCTACGCTCCTATTATATATATTCCTATGACAAACTCGCATAAACTCGAGAAACTTCAAAGTGACTTAAACAAAATTTATAAATGCATAAACTTCGGGCCCTATTTATCATAATAATTATGTGAAGATAATGTTATAACATAATTTCAATATTTCATAAATATAAACTTAAAATAACAATTTTTTTAACATTGTAAAAATAAATATTGATGTTGTTATGTGCAACATAATTATGAACACAATTATTTTTTAACCGTTGACTAGTCCAATTAATGCAAATATATTATGCTAATTCGATTAAGCGATTTTATATGTATGCGCTAAATTTAACGAATTCAAAAGTACTAAATGATACAGTATGTCGCAATGAGTTGTCTGTATACTATTACAATATACTTAGTTTCATTTGCATGTACTAGTATTTCATCGCATAATTTAAATGAAAAGTCAATTTTCTATAAACTTTCCACCGCTATCGATCACGATATTGCAAGAGTATTGGATTTGATTGAAAAAAACGCTCGAATCCAACTTCCAAAAGCAGAACCCTTGGAAGAAATCGTTAAGCATAGACCTGACTTATTTACAAACGTTCCGGAAGAGATAATGACTTCCTGTCTTGACTTAAGTAATTTTATTGAAAATCCGTACACTAAGTTTGACTTAGTGATATCGACTCCATACTTGTACGACACCACTGACAACATTAAAGTTATAACGCAAAGCAACTATAGAGATGAATCCTTAAGGTTTGCCGAATTTTCAACGGAACGTTATGAGGCATTGACAACCAATTTTGTGATGGTTTTTAATTCTCCAAAAGTTAAAGTGACTCAAGAATACGACTCGGCGGAACCGTTAAATGCCGATCAATCTTATATACAGCACTTTCGAAATCCGATCAAAAGCAAGTCCAAAACGACAGAAATTTTCAAAAAAAATACATTAACCACAGAACCATTAATTTTCGATTTATTAAGTAAAATTTCTTGCAGCATGAATAATACTCATGGTACTACTGAGACAAAAAAAAATAAAACTATCACTGCATGTACCAAGCGTCCTAAATCACAAAAAACTACCAGTATTTATACGAAAAAAAACAAATTTTGTAGTACTACTACAGTAGTCAATGAAAGTACCAAACCGTGTAAAAATTTTTCTGTCTGTACAAATTTTACAAAACCTAGTGACTGTATCAAAACAGTATCTGCTGATTACATAAGATTTAGCGTTGCTACTCATAAATGTACGGAATGTTCAAAACCAAATATAAGTTCCACTTTTAATACGAATTGTTCTAGGTCAAGTAACCCTTCTGTTAGATCCACAACTCAAAAATATAAAACTAGTGTATCATCAATATGTACGAATAACTCTAAAACTATACCATTCGATTTTAATACTGTGAACTATTCTAACATTAACGAAACGACAAAACAAAACGAATATACTGATAAATCGGTCACAACCTTGTTCCCGGTGATTCCCTATTCGTTCAACATAAACTGCAGTACGCCGACCAATACGGTCGCTACTTATTCATCATCGACCAGAGTAACAAAAATCATCGATACAGCTAGAAACTTGACGGATATACTCAAACTTTTGTATGAAAAATCGGCTTCAAAGTCCAGCAAATCTCGTGCAGCTCAAAACAATCGACTAGCTGTGGATTTAATAAAAAATAGTTTTGTATTTGATTCGTCACAGTCTTCTTTAAAAAGTACTTCAAAAATACTATCATTATGGACCACAATGCCGTTTGGTCATAAAATATATACAGGGGCATTATCTAGCAATCAACGAACTCCTTCTGAGGACTCTAAACTACCATAGGTTAAATTACCAAATAAAATATTAAATAAATAATATCGGAAAATATCACATTATCATTAATAGAAGTAAAGAATTAACACTGTTTTAAATTATTGTTTTCTAGTAGTTCTGAACATTTACGTCCACTAGACTTGATTAAAGAAGAAATATTTTAAGAATATTTATTCTTAAATAGTTATGTTTAAATTTGTTAAAGTTTTTTTCGTAGGTAAATTTTATTTTTTTATTTTTACCCATTAGTTTCATTAAAAATTTTGAGAAATATAAAAATAATTTTTTATACGGTAACATTTATAATATTAAAAACTTTTCGTGAAAAATATATAAAACATAGTAAATAAATTCGCCAGAATTATAAAACTTTAGTTATCACTATAGTTTTAAGTGTTTTTTTATTGTAATTATTTCACTTATTCGTATAAATACGATGCAAGTATATTCCTCATTGGTTAAATGGTAAAATGTTCAATATCAAATATATTCTTTTGGCAATCGTTACTGATGGATTTGAAAAATGCGTAGACCGTTTAGTTTTGACCGTACACGGATGTTGTTATTGTTTTATTTATTATATACTGTAAAATGTAAGCCTCGAATGAATTTCAGATTTAAGGAAAAAAATATATGCGTTTCTGAGGGTTGTGTCAAATCGGCAGCTTCTATATTAGCTAATGTAGACAAGACGGTCAATCCTTGTGATGATTTTTATCAGTTTGCGTGTGGTAAGTTTACGACAGGTGCTCTAGTAGACGATGACAAAGCTTCTCGGACTACATATAGTGCTGTGAATCGCATGGTCGAAGACAAAATTAGACATGTTTTAGAAGAACCTATCAATCAGCTCGATTCGATTCACTCAAAATTGGCTAAACAGATATACGCTACTTGTATGGACGAACAAACTCTGGAAAAACGAGGTACTCAGCCGTTACGAGAAATTCTATCTAAAATAGGCGAATGGCCTGTATTGAGCGGTAACCAATGGGACGAAGAAAATTTTCATTGGACCGATACCGTTTACAAATTCCGTGACCACGGACTAAGTATCGACTACTTGATTGACTTATCAGTTAAAATCAATCATAAAAATACAGAGGCTTATATTATCGAATTAGATCGAGCAACTCTAGCAATGAGTTCAGTATATATGAAACACGGACTCAAAGATAAGAGAGTCAGTTCGTATTATCGATACATGGTAGACGTCGCCGTTGAACTTGGAGCAACCGAACAGTATGCCAAGTCGGAATTACGACGTGCACTTGACTTAGAAGTCCAGCTCGCTAGAATATCACAATTGCAGTCATTAAGACATCTAAAAGAACTATTTACTGAGGTCACTTTAGCTGATTTGGCAAGACGTTATTCAGGAATACCCTTACGAGAATATATTAATCGACTGATTTGTGGAGCCGGCAAAACGTGTGTATTAAATAACGACAAAATCGTGGTTAATACACCCCATTATCTGGAAGGACTAGAAGCAACTCTGAAATTTACCTCAAAGAGGGTGTTAGCAAATTACTTGGTATGGCGGGCCGTAGCATCGTCGATTGCATTTTGCAACCGAAGAGTCAGGTACCGAGAACAGCTATGGCATGAAGCAGTTTTAGGTCGACCGGCTCGAGAACCTAGATGGACTGAATGTGTAACTATCTCTTCAACCGTGGTAGATTCAGCAGTTAGCGCTTTATACGTCAAACAATATTTTGATAAGCAAACCAAAACAGTCGCTACTGATATGGTTAAACGCATTCGAAAGGAATTTTATCATACTCTTTCAAAGTCGGGTATGACGTTAAATTAAAAAATACTATTTTATGGAAATATATATAATCATTTTTCCTCTACGTAAAATAAATTAAGTACCAAATATTCAAGTATTTGTTAAAATAACAATTATATATATATATTTAGTTTATATGTTTTTAATGTTTTAGATTGGATTGACCCGATAACAAAAAGAAATGCCCTCGATAAAGCTGAAGCCATAGAAGAATTTGTGGGCTATCCCGATGAGCTTTTAGATTCTCTTACCGTCGACAAACATTATGAAACGTTACAATTTAATAATTCAAAAAATTACTTAGAATCTATATTGAAAATAACGAAATTTCGTTGTGATAAAAGTTTTGAAAAATTACGTGGTCCAGTTAACAAGACCGATTGGGTGACACATGGACAAGCCATTACTGTAAATGCATTTTATAACTTAGTTGAAAATAGTATTCAATTACCTGCAGGTTAGTAGTTGAAAATCGGTATATTTCTGTAAAAACGACATTTGAAATTAATTATATTTCTTTTACGGTTAGCAAATATTTATTGCTGAAACTTGAACTTATCATCTTAAGTTTTTATGCTCTTTAAATAGTATCTATTTATTTTAATTTTCTGTAAATTAGAACTTTTTAAAGTGAAAGTGTCTTTAAGGTATTTTGCAAGGTATGTTTTTTTCGCCCGATCGACCCAATTATTTGAATTATGGAGGGATCGGCTACGTTATTGGTCATGAGATTACTCACGGTTTCGACGACCAAGGTCGTTTGTACGATAAGACTGGTAACCTGCGAGACTGGTGGCTACCAGAGACCGTTGAAAAGTTCCACGAACGAACCAACTGTATGATTCGACAATATAGTAACTACACTGTAGATAAGGCGGCTGGATTACGTATTGACGGGCGACATACGATCGGTGAAAATATCGCTGATAACGGCGGAGTAATGTCGGCTTATAATGCGTACCGTCGATGGTCAGCTGATAAAATAGAGCCACGGTTGCCCGGACTATTCGAATATTCACCTCAACAGATGTTTTGGATTAACGCAGCGAACATTTGGTGTTCAGTGTATCGACCAGAAACGCTCAGGCACGTTGTTTTAACCGGCTTGCATGCCCCGGGCAAATTTCGCGTGATAGGTACCTTACAAAATCAACCGGAATTTGCGAGTGACTTTAATTGTTCTTTAGGATCTTACATGCACCCGCAGAAAAAATGCAAAGTATGGTAACGTCATAAAAAAAAAAAAACATTGGAGTTTATGATGGTGGTTTTCTTATTTCATATACAAAATATTTATCAATGATTTTTTAATTTGATCGTAGTCTTAGAAAGTAAATATTTTCTTAGAAACGCGTAAAATAATTACTGTACCTATTAAGTTATGTATTTGTTGAAATACTTAATTTTTATCTTGAATTTTTAGATTCTATGATAACATAGAATGTGTTAGTTATCTATCTATCTATATATATAAATATAATTTCTCATGTAGATTTATGAGATAATTCGATTGTATTTCTATAAATGTATTTTTGTAAAATAGTATATTAAATTATATTTAATTTTAGATATTTGCTAATGCTAATTTTTTAAAAATAAAATGTGTTTAAATTTTTAATTAAACCTTTGAATTAAATACTAATACTAAAAAGAAAGAATAGGCTGGTGGTTAAAATATTAACACACCGAATAAAAATAGAAAGTTTAAAGATTATAAAGAGTATCATACGATTAGTAAAAAACCCATTAAGTTTACGTACATAAATACATAATGTGTAATTGATAATATGTTTAAAAAATTTTTGATATTTATAAAAAATATTATTCTGGTATAAATGAACTTAAATAAGCCAGGTCCTTATTTTTCAGTATTTTACAATACATAAAGAGTAATACGAATTCGAATGTGCGTAGTACGAAATTTTTAATACATGTAGAGANAGTACGAAATTTTTAATACATATAGAGACTTATTACTCACTCAACACTTAAAACAAAACGGTAGCACAGTGTGGACGAGGCATAGATAGGACAAGTATAGATGATATCTAACAGTGATTAAAATCACTATCATAAGAAACGCTTCGATGCAAATCTGTAGATAGTGTTTCATTTAGAGAAATTGGTGGATTATTCCAAAAGCAACATCAACTCTTATTTCTTTAATTATATCCTGATTAGTAGTTCTTTTATTTTAAAATATAATATATGAATAAATACTAATTATAGTTTTTAAATTTAGTATGAAATTGTGAGGCCAGCTATGATGTATGGTTCATAGTGTTGGGCGGTTGATAAGAAAGTAGAGCAGAGAATAAGTGTAGCAGAGTTGAGAATGCTTAGTTGGATGAGTGGAGTGACTAGAGAAGATAGGATAAGGAACGAGCATATAAGAGGAGTGTAGGTGTTGCGTCAATCGTGGATAAGATGACAGAAAATAGACTTAGATTGTTTAGTCATGTTATGAGGACAGAAGAATCGGAAGCTGTAAGAACAGTTATAGAAATGAATGTTGAAGGAAGAAGAGATAGAGGAAGACCAAAAAAGAGATGGAGGGATGCTATTGAATGCGATTTGAGGACAGCTGATGTGAGCGTAGAAGATGTGGGAGATCGTGTCAAGTGGAAGCTTAGGATAAGGGTGGCCGACCCCAAGTAGTTGGGATTAAGGCAAAGAAAAAGAAAAATATTACCAGAAATTCCGGTGGCAATTGACATAATATGATTGTTGTTTGGGAATGTACAATTTAGCGTTTAGTTGGGTTTAAACAATATAGCGTCAAATCAATTACCTACTCTATCGGTTGTATATTAAAATACACTACACTTTAATGATACAATAAATAAATAAACTTACACATACGCACATATGCATTTATATCATTGTGTCTAATGTAAGTATAACATGATAAAAAGTAACCGTAAAATGAAAAACCCAGCACAGGGGGGTCGCGGCACAGTGGTGACGTGGCATAGTTGGATCAAGTATAATGATATCTGACAGTGATTAAAATCACTATCAAAAAAAAACGCTTCGATGCAAATCTTTAGATAGTGTTTAATTTTAAAAAATTGGTGGATTATTCCAAAAGCTTCATAAACTGCTAGTTCCTTATTAATATCCTGATTAAGACAAAGTATGTAGAATAAAAAAGAGATTATTAGAAAATAGTATTTCCCATAAAAAAATTATATTGATCAATACACTTTTCAATAAGTTATAGCATTATAATGTTAAAAATGTAAAAAATAAAATTGAGAATTTTCACACAATAATAGCATTTGGTAGCCATTTTCACCTTGAAGATAAAATAAAGTCCGAAATTTTTTTTTTCCATGATAAAGTATATTACATTAGCTTTAATTTAAGATATATATAAAAGTGTCAGACTTTCCGGAACACTTTCAAAATTTAAGTTGAAAAAGTCAATTTTTTGTGAAAAAGTTGTCATTTTGAATCCCCCCCTGTAGGCAGGTAAAAAGTCAGATTTATAAAAAAAATATACCAAATGATAGGTAAAGACATCATGCATCTACAAAAAAAAGAATTATATTGATCCATACATCTTTCGAGAAGTTATAGCATTATAAAGTTAAAAATATAAAAAAGAATTTTTTTACAAAAATCGTATTTTTTTTATTAAGTTTAATGTCTGTTTTCACCATGAAGATAAAATAAAGTCCGAAATTTTTTTTTACCATTATAAAGTATATTACATTAGCTTTAATTTAAGATATATATAAAAGTGTCAGACCTTCCGGAACACTTTCAAAAGTTACGTTGAAAAAGTTCTACTTTCTATATGCATTTTTATGTTTTGAATCCCCCCTGTATTTAGGGAAATGGTCCGATTTAAAAAAACAGTATGTCGAATGAAAGATCTATATAAATACTACTTCTCATAAAAAAATTGTAATGATTCATACATTTTTCAAAAAGTTATAGCATAATAAAGTTAAAAATGGAAAATACAAAATCGAAAATTTTCACACAAAAATAGCATTCGGTAGCCATTTTCACCATGAAGATAAGATAAAGTCCGAAATTTTTTTTTTTCATGATAAAGCATATTACATTAGCTTTAATTTAAGATATATATAAAAGTGTCAGACCTTCCGGAACATTTTCAAAATTTAAGTTAAAAAAATTAATTTTTTGTGAAAAAGTTGTCATTTTAAATCCCCCCTTGTGGGCAGGTTAAGGGTTAAATTTATGAAAAAAATATACCAAATGAAAGGTAATGATATTATGCATCTATATAAAAAAGAATTATATTGATATGTTCATTTTTGAAAAAGTTATGGCACTTTTAAGTAAAAAAAATTGAAAAAATTTCGAAAATTAGCGATTTTTAAATTTGTAATTTTTTTGGAGGTTTCCCCCATTTACGGGGAACGAGGGAATTTTTTTCAATTTTTAAGGGTAATGTCTTCGACTAGATACGATTTGTGATCTTTTGACGTATCATTGAAAGAAATCGGTTCGGTGAGAGCTGAGAAAAAGTGGTAACAGACACTAAAAAAAAAAAACACATCTTAGTAAAACCAATACCTTCTCAGCTTCGCATCGAAGCTAAAAAACGGAATATAAATTTTAGTACTCGTATTAAATGTAATGTAACTCGAAAAATATTTGTTTAAATGAAAAAATATAAGATAATTTTTTTGTTTAGAATTGTCTTTTAAACATCTTTCGTACAAAACTTTTTTATGTAAATTAAATATTTTTTGAGAAAATTAAATAAAATCATATTTTTTAACTTTTTCGAGGCTGTAAAAAAAAAGCTCAATTCCAATCAATGAGGACTATTAGTATGTCATTATACATATTTTAATTCAACTTTTAGAAAAACAAAATTTAGTTGGGAATTTTTTTTAACTACGGCAGCCGTTTAAATGTAGAAGAAAAAGTGTCGGGACACATTTTTTTTTTTCATTTTTTAGAACATAAAATAAACTTAAATTGTTATATGTTTGAAGAACGCAGTATTTCCGGAACATTTTCAAAAGTTCAGTTGAAAAAGATCTATGTTTTTTACAATATTTTAAGTTTTGAACGCCCCCTATATAAGGGGAAATTGTCCAATTTTAATAAAAAGTATGTCAAATGAAAGATGTACTTATAATGTATTTAGAAAAAAAAAATTTGTGCTGATATATACATTTTTCAAAAAGTTATAGCATTTTTAAGTTGAAAATTTAAAATCGAAAATCGAAAATTTTAACACAAAAATAGTGTTTTTTTAACTACGGCAGCCGTTTAAATGTAGAAAAAAAAGTGTCGGGACAAATTTTTTTTTTTCATTTTGTAGTACATAAAATAAGCTTTAATTTGATATATGTTTAAAGGACGCAGTCTTTCCGGAACATTTTCAAAAATTAAGTTGAAAAAATTAATTTTTGTAAAAAAGTTGCCATTTTAAATCCCCCCCAATGAGCAGGTTAAGTGATAGATTTTCAAAAAAATGATATCAAATGAAAGGTAAATATCTAAGGTTTTAGTATAAAAAAAAATTATGTTGATTTGTTGATTTTTCAAAAAGTTATGGAAGTTTTAAGAAAAAAAAGTGAAAAAATTTCGAAAATTAGCGATTTTTAAATTTGTAATTTTTTTGGATATTTCCCCCATTTGCGGGGAACGAGGGAATTTTTTTCAATTTTTAAGGGTAATGTCTTCAACTAGATACGATTTGTGATCTTTTGACGTATTTTTGAAAGAAATCGGTCCAGTGAGAGCTGAGAAAAAGTGGCAACAGACACAAAAAAAAAAAAAACACATCATAGTAAAATTAATACCTTCTCCGCTTCGCATCGAAGCTAATAAGTAAAAAAATAAGTTTTATTGTATTATGTTTTTTTATAATTTTTGTTTACATTTATGTTGAAATATTAATTCAAAACATTACTTAAACAAAAATATATTATGTTGTCTGAAAAATCATGTTCTCTTCCATATAGAGTAATAGTGATTAAAAATAATAGGTTGATACGTTTTTCGTTCTTCTACAATTTTGCCCTTTGTAATTGCTAAGTAATTTTACTAATTTGTTTCCACTTTATACATGTACACATTTCAAGGTCTCAAGAGTTGGACAGCACCCCGTTGCCTTAGTGTTCTAATGAAGGTGCTTACCAATCAATTAGATTTTATTCGTGATCAAAGAGCATCTGAATTTATTTCTGTACACTTACTTATCTTTATAGTTTTAAACCACATATTCTACAACAAGATAGGAACCGT